CCCCCGCAAAAAAACCCAACCTAACAACCATCCAAACAAACAAACTAACCAACTACACAAACACACAAACCAACAATCAGCAAGACGTACCGCCGTGAGCTGACCCGACTTCTGCGCGAGTTTCCCGCCCCTGGCCGCCCTGTGCCAGGCCTCACTGACAGCTCTGTGCCAGGCCTGACTGACCAGCTCACCGACCAGCTGACTGACCAGCTGACCCCGATGTTCCTGGAGATGGACGTGTCAGAGATAATCAGCCTGCTCTCCTCCGCCGACTACTTCCTCTTTATGGTGGGTGCCGAGAACTAAATTAAATAATGTTATGCGTGCTGACAAAATGAGTTACTTCTTTCAATCCACGAACAGAGATATCGGCCGAAAATCAACACTACGGTCAGATTTATACAATTTCAATTGATGCTATTTTGTTCAAGTCTACTGTTTATTTTATTATTCCATACTTACAAATTGTACAAACTCCCCCTATAAAGTTGATGTATTAATTTCCAAAAAGCTAAAATCCGAGAAGTAACTCATTTTGCAGCACACCTCACTGGTCGTGTCCGACTCGTCTTTTTTTTTTTTGTTCTTCGTCATACAGTCGCGATTACAACTGGTCGCTTTTAAGGACAAGCGGGGTAACCCAAATTTCGGGGTTTTCTAGAAAATCTTGACCTACACCAAAATTGGGCATTGCCTTACCTATATGAGAAGTTTGGTTTCAGTGGTGTGTATATTTGTTTGATTATAGAGAAAACTCTCCTTGTCTTAAAAGAAAGTGAACGACGATTTTCTCAAAACAGCTTTTATAGGTATAGCCCCCTTGTGCTTAAAAGCGACCAATTAATTCGTCACGCTAATAAGATATAAATCTATCTTGCCCAGACTACGTGTTCTTTAGCCAATTTGAGAAATAAATGAGGGGGGGGGGGGGTATAACGGTTTCTTTGTAGCAAGTCACCCTGTGAAACGTTTGAATTTTGGTACACTCAAATGGTTTTTATTTTGACTATTCTTATGTCAAGCCAGGTGAACAACAAGTATGTTACCAAGCTGGCTCTGCTCTTTACTTCTGAACCAAAAACTCCAAACCAGCCAACAATGTCTTAAGAAATTATATTTTTTTAATGGGCGTAACGACTTGGGTTGGGGTTTTTTTTCTTTCTTTCTTCTTCCTTCTTTCTTTCTTTCTTTTTCCCCTTTGTTTTCTTTCTTTCTTTTTTTGCTAGTTGTAGTATTTACTTAAAAAATAAAAAGCAAACAAGACAGGAAAACGTATTTAGAAAATCTGAATAGGTGGGTAGCAGGGACAACACCTGATTAATGTAAGATTGTTCTAGAGCATCCGGGCAGAGAAGAGAAATGAATGGAGAACCATAATCGTCGATGTCTGTTTTAAATCGGGTACTGTATGGAGGAGGTTAGCGGCCCTGTTGTTGTTGCTGTTGTTGTTGTTGTTGTTGTTGTTGTTGTTGTTGTTGTTGTTGTTGTCGTTGTTGTTGTTGTTGTTGTTGTTGTTGTTGTTGTTGTTGTTGTTGTTGTTGTTGTTGTTGTTGTTGTTGTTGTTGTTGTTGTTGTTGTTGTTGTTGTTGTTGTTGCTGCTGTTGCTGTTGTTGTTGTTGTTGGTGGTGGTGGTGGTGGTGGTGGTGTTTTCTAAATAATTTATTATTTATATTTTATTCTATTTTATCTTATTTTATTTTATTTTATTTCCTTTTTGTCTTAATATATTTATTTATTTATTATTCAAATATAGATCTACATATATTATATTGTACAATTTAATCGATTATTTTTCTTTTTTTTAAGGGGGGGAGGGGGGAGGGGTGGGGGTTGTATTAATTTGTTAGTGTCAGTGTGTGAGATGTTACCTGCCATCGATGCTCCCCATCTAGGTGCTGGAGGGTGTGAAGCAGTTACGTCACTTCCTGGAGTCTGACGCATGCCAAGAGTTACCGCCCATCCCCCAGTCGGCAGACGGCAGCGAGGGCAATGGCGCGCCGGAAGTGGATAGTCCTAGCCAAGACCAGACGTAGAGGAGACCGGATGTGTCGTCATCAGGCGCAGAGTGCTGCTAGTTTTTAATCCTTAATGGTTGGCGGGTGCTCTGGTGTGGTTTGCTCCTTCTTTTCTATAAATCATCTATCGTCCTCATCTCTCCTCCTTTCCTTTTTGTATGTAACTACCTAATATCTAGCAACACCTAACCTCTAATCTTGGGCACTTATTTGACCTATTTGTATTGTAAGCACTATAAAACTTTTACTGAACTCTTAATAAGACTATGAAACGTGGGGAACAAAGTAAAGTGTCTGCAGAAACAACATTGCCTCTTTAGAGTACCTAGGATTATACCCGAACTAGAAATGCTCGTGACCTTCAGCTAAAGAAAGCACAGGAGCGGAATAAAATGAATTATTATTAAATATTAATTATCCTATTCAGAGATATTATTCGTATAATATAACGGTGGGCTAAATATCAAATACAGGGTAGAACGATATAAATACCATTACGATAAATACAGTAAATGTATTTGATCTAATTGGCACAAAAACATGGCACCGTATTTTATCTTGAGTTTGGTTTCGACCTCTCTTGAAATTCGACGTATTTCCACGCACTACAATCTCAATTGTTTTTTGTTTGTTATTGTTCAAGGCAATGGTTTATTAAATTAATTTTTAGCCAGTAGTTAAAATACAGGCAATACTAAAACTATTTTGTTAATTAATTCCACAATCCATGCGAGGAGTCCACTGAAAAAACGGGCCTCGTCACAAACTGGAAATTGAGAGGGGTGTCAATTTTAAAAGCTTGTGGACTCATAACTTCCTATTTTGTTTGATTGGTGGTTTATTTTAATATGTTTGTTGGATGGGAAATCTCTCAACACTAATCAACCAACAGCTGAACAGAAATATAGTTATAATAAGTCAACGAGTGTTCAAAATTGGTACCCTCGAGATCACGATTTTCAGTTTGTGACTATGCCCGTTTGTTTTTTTAAATTGGACTCCTCATGTACTATGTCCCAGTTGTGTTGCCGGCGTCTGTGGTGTAGTGGTTCGGCGCTTTTCGTTATCACACACAGCAGACCCAAGTTCGATTCTCGAGTGGGGAGAACATTTTCATCGAGTATCTCCTCGGTCTTTCTGCCGGGATGTTGTATCCCCTCGCGGCCCGGTGTGGCCCTGGTAGACGTGGTCAGAAGCCCGTGGCCTCTTTAATTGTCTAAATTGTGTCGATGGGAGTGTGAAAAGCAGCTCCTACATTAAATATTTCCCAGTTGTGTTTGTCTTTATAGCTTCATGGTAGTGAATCGTTGCAAGGTCGCCCTTCATGTTGAGACATTTAGTCATCAATGTGATCTTGTTCATATTATAATATATATATGGATGGTACACGGGATGTCAATTTTTTAAAATTTGGTTTTGGGGGGGGGGGGATGATTTGAGTTGTGACGTGGGTTGGGAACTGTTTACACACCTCTCTTCTGTCCCATCTAGGTGCCCAAGGCCAAAGCCTGATGCGTCGCCCAATATCTGGAGTTGAAAATATATAGTATAGAATGGGAAACAACCTAAGATGAAAAGTTTTTAATATTTTTCATTTTCTCAAAAAATGCCCCAAAAAATCACCCCTTGTTTTTCACTTCTGCCCTTCATATTATTATTATTATTCTCATATTATGTACGAGTGTGACAGGGTCGCACAGATGTACAATACAATAATATTATGTGTATATATAATATTCTGATTTGTGACGTAGTACTCAAGAGAATAATATTTTCTTGAATCAAATGAGTGTCCCAGAGCTGAAACAGGACCCTCTTTGGTCTTCTGTATATCAATGGAGTTATCGTGCTTGTATTGCGCAAAAAGACTATATTTATAGTGCTGTCAGAAATTCGTGGCGCAACTTAAACTGAAATAATATCTCTTTAACGAGAGAATCAGTGTCACCTATACTTTATATAAATTTGTCTCAAATTGAGAAGTAAACCAAATAAAATCTGTTGAAACCACTCACAGGGATTTTTAAAAATTAGTACTTTTCTAGAATGCAGAGAAAAATAAATCTTCACAAAAACGATGGTCTGTTGAGATAAATATTGATGCAGACCATAGTGCAAAAGCTGAACAGTCTCTGTTCAATAGTTAAGGAGATATTCGACAGCTGCTGACCCACAAATTTTTGACAGCACAAAATTTAGTGTCCGTATAACGCTCTCATAATTAAATAACGCCATTTTACTGTATTCTCCCAAATCACTGTCTTTTCCAGTCTTGTCACAATGTGCATATTAGAAAAAAATCAAATATGTATACACTTGAAAATGTTGAACTTTCTTGAGTATTGTATAAAAAATACAAGGCTATTGAAATAAAAGTTTTATGCTTTTAGAAATGCATGATATATATTTATTTATTTCGACGTGCAGTTTTCTTCTTTAATTCTCGTTATTTTGTGAACAATCTGACGAGGACCATAATCTTTTGCAATAGTCATATTCATATCATTAGCTAGACGAGGACCCAGTGGCCGTTAGAGAGTTCAGAGTGGCGAATTATGTCAAACAAGAGTCGGTGGCACTGGGGGGTTTCATTTTGCAAGACACAATAACATCGACTAAAAAATAAATGAATAAATTAATAAATTAATTGATTAATTAACTAATTAATTAATCAATTGATTATCTTATTTATTTTTTCATATATATATATATATATATATATATATATATATGTTAATAACATTAATGAAAAAATGAATATATAATGTAAATAAGTAAATAAGGGCGCTGCACAATAGCTACCAGCAAAAGCATTTGAGTAAATTTGTTCGTCACTGGTGTAACGTAGTATTGAGTTTTTGTTACACACGTATCTACATTTGTGTAGTAGTAGTAGTATAGGGTTTTACGGCGCTCGCAACTGGATAAGGTCATAATTATGAGCGCGCGAAACACAAGTTGTTTACGTTCGCAAAAGTTCACTGCACGGTTTAGACTTTAAAATGCTAAAATATTAAAATTCGTACATTTGTGTGTTTAAATCTGTGTTCAGTTCATGTATGAATGTTTGCCATTGCAACTAAAATCTCCCCACGGGGATTAACAAAGTGTACTAATTTATCTTATTGTTTTATCTATCAATGAGATGCTTTTCGAGGCACCAAGGATGAAAGGCGACTATCGACAGGTTCTGTGCTCAATGAAGCTAACAAGACGACGTCGTACACACAAGATGACACATTCTTACAGCTAGAATATTCGAGGGGAATCTCGTGGCCTAGAGGTTCGAATCCGGGTAGCGACCGAAAAATTTTCTTCTCTAAATGTGTCTCCTTTCACCTCCTTTCCTGCTCTCTAGCAATGTTCTGTCGTCTGCTTTCGTCTCCTCTATCTGTCCCCACCCCCTCACCTCCTTTGCCCCTTCCTCTGGGCTCCTGATTCTTTCTGCAGCCTTTCTACTGCTACTCCTTCGCTTCTTCTTACTCCTGTCTTTCAGCCACACCCTTGATCTTCTGGTAGGAAAGATCTACACCTAGCCTTCTCGGACAAGGGCGAAACATTTCGGTGGGCCCTTGTGCAAGTTGCGCACGTTAAAGATCCCCTGGTGGTCTAAAATCGATAAGAGTAGGCTTCAGCCGCCACCCGGGCAAAATTTAAAATTTCCTACCAACTGAAAATATTAAGTGTGTCCCGCGCGCTCATATAACCTTATGCAGTTGCGAGCGCCGTAAAACACTTTACAAAAAAAAAAAAAAAAAAAGAAGCATATTCGAATAGGCTACATGCAATTGATGATAAAAGAGAACCAAGAAGGCAGGCAAACCAACTAAAGAGCAAATTTACGTTTTTGTTTTGTTGTTGGATTTGTTGGGGGGGGGGGGGGGGGGGGGGGGGGGGGTTTCGTGTGTGTTTTTTTTTTTACTTTGTTCTTTTTAATGTTAAGCCCATCTTATTTCAGTTTGCTTCATTTTATTTATTTACTTATTTTTCAGGCTACATAAAAGTGCTGAAAGATTTGAATGGTTTTTCTTCTTGAGAGTTGCTCATGCAGAATGGTATTATCTTATCCCATCTTTCCCTATCTCGTCTTTTCTTGTCACACTAGATCTATATTGTATTCTAAATGACACGTGTGGGTAGTTGGTTGGCGCCACTGAGTGGTAGGTCCTACTTCTTTACTTTCCCTCTGTTGTTTCTGTCTGTCTGTTTTACCTTTCCCCAGCTCTAAATGACCATTTATGAGGCAGCGTAGTGGAATCAGGCTCTCGTCAAAATAATCAAATTGAAGAAACCTGCATTTTTCCGCAGGTTTGTGAAATTTTATCAAATGTTTGTTTTTTGGCTCAACACCTTTCATGCCAATGAAAGAACTCATTTCTTTGAAGATTTTCCTGAAAAACGTTGATAAAAGACACAAAAACAGGAAATTTCCAGATACCACGGACTCTTAAGCTAAGGAAATAACCAATCTTTGGCGGCCATTTTCTCACTAATTTTTCCTCTGAAAACAGGTGACCCCCACCTTCTTCATTCTCAAATATCTCCACTTGTATTCAAGATAAATTGACATTTTTTTCATCCAAATAAAGACAAGCAAACAAGCTTTAAGATGATACCAATAACTCTACATGCCCAAAAATTGACGAGAGCCTGATTCCACCACGATGCCTCACATTTTTGTGTCGATGTGCTTCTATTTAGGCCAACTCGGACAACCAAAACAAGTGACACTTTTACTTTAGCAAATTTGAAGAGTTTACAGGGGACACTACCCCTCAAAGAAAATCTAAGTAGATCCATTATTGTTTGGTTGTCTACCCTGTATTATCTCTGCCCTCGCACCTTGTAAAAGTACTAGAAAAGTAGATTTCTAGTAATAAGTAAACTTTAAAAAACAATCGGTCCTACGAGAAAATAGAATCCGACTATCCACTGCGCAGTCCAGTATGATACCTACATAGACATCTAGGGCCTAACCAACGGTTCTATAAGCGGAGAGTTACACTGAAAGAACAGGCGATTTATTCTGAACATGATTGAATGATTGAAAAAATTCTCCCTTTGTAGAGGGGAAGTATGTAGAGATACAACAATCTACACCTCGATTGCAATAACAGAGATATTTATATGGAAGACAAGAAATATAGTATAGATCTTGTTAGGAAAAATAACAGAAGCAGAGAGTAAATTACTAGAATTTCTATAATAATATATAACTAGGCTAGCGATTTTCAGAAGCTGTAATTCTGTGAACATAAATAGCCACGAAAGGACAGCAGCAACGGGAGGCTACTCCAAGAGATTGCAGCAACTTTGTCTGCTGCTTTTTGTTTCATTTACCTCCGCCGAATCAGCTGGTGTCAGTGTTGTAGTGCCTTAGTAGAACTAGAAATCTAGATCTAGATTCTAGATATTGAAACACACAGAGGTACTGAAGTTAGTTTCACTTGTAATGAAGATCTAATTTGGCTTTACAGTATAATCTAGCCTGTGTACTTACTTTTACGTTAGATCTGCTTTTTCATCCTTTGTTGCTGTGTTAAAAGAGTCGAAGTTGAGGGGAGAGATGCAGTTTTCTATGGTAGGCCAGCTCCGCAGCTTTCAGTTGTGATGTTGTTTTCTTAGAGTTTCCTTGACTCCCTCGATCCACCTTTTTCGTGGCCTTCCTCTTCCTTTATAATAGCCTGAGCTAGGCTCTCGAGGCTGGCTGGTCAGGTGACAGGCGTAACAGGTGGTCAAACCACCTAAATCCTCTTTAAATTGTCTCTGTGTAAAGGCTGTTAAGGGCACTTACCCTTGTCACTAGATCTAGATCTAGATCTAGATCTAGATTCTAGATCTAGAGATCTATTCTAGATCTAGAGAGTCTAGATCTTGATATCTAGATTCTACATTGTGATGGCTGATGGCTAATTGGGGTTTGCACATTTTGGTAGCCTTTAATTAAGCCTTTTTACTTTTTCTACTTCTAAGAAGTTAGAAAGTTCTAATTTTACTCATGTACACCACTCCCTTTCACTCAAGTCCGAATAGCCACTTCGTAATTAATTAGAGTCTACTTGTTGTAGTCTTGAATTTTTATCATAGGCCTAGTTGAGAATGATTTGATATCTAGATCTAGAAATCTATAGAGATCTAGACGCTCTAGATGATAAAAGTATATTATTTCCTCATCTAATTATAAAAACGGAGTCTTGACCTTGTTTTTATGTTTGCTTTTATAATTTCAGGTTCAGAGATATTTGATTGTGTCATGGCAAGCTGTAGCCGGGGCTTGAGGGTGTGGCCCAGGGTCTTGCTGTATGGAGACTCCATCACACAGGTAACCTTGGCAACCGTAAACACCTTGTTGAGATATTATATATATATGAGGCTTCGTGTTGGTTTCATGTTGTTCTTTTTTTCCTTCCCCGTCTGTACTGGTCTGTTTGTTGCTTTCTGTGTGTACAGGTTTCTTCTCTCCCTCCCTTAAATGATCAAAATTGTGTCGATAGTGCCGTAAAACATCTACCCAATCAATCAAATCTCCCTCCCTCCACCCTTCCGTCCTCACAACTCAGGTCTCTCTCTTTCATGCAACCCCCCACCCCCCCTTTTGACACTTTGTGCAAATCTAATATGTTGACTGATTAGAACTGGATCCTACTTATCATGTATGTGTAACTTCTTTTTTGTCTTTTCACTGACTGAAACTTCTTCAGTTCATAATAGAACTATTGTATTTCTCATACACATTCAACATTCTAATCGATTATAACCTAGAATCAGAGCTGTGTTTATGCTTTGAAAGTCTTGCAAAAGTATCAATCCCGTACGGTATGAAGTAAATTGTCTGCAAACTGTCTGTGGGGTATGAATCGATGTTTTCTTGGGTCTTAGCCTATTGTATTCTAAGAAAATTTCCTCTTTTTGCTATCTAAATTTGTAAAAATTTGAAGGCCTATATGTCATGATTTTATATCGCATATTGTTTTCATATGTACAGTGTTTACGGCTCTTGATAAAGTTGTAACCAATAATTGTTGTGATCTTCTTGCAGCGATGTTTTACGGAAGAAGGATGCTGGGGAAGTCTGTTTGCAGATTACTTGCAACGGTCAGTGGTCCTTCTTGATATGATATTGGGGAGGACTTCCGTAATGAGCGACCGCTATGAGACAGAGCAGAATTTAGGGGTAGGGGTAGATTTAGGGGTAGGGTTTGGGTTAGGGTTAGGGTTAGGCCTCTTCTTTATTGTGTTTGATGGGGTGGTCGCTCGTTACGTAAGTCCTTCCTGATATTGGTGTTTTTTTACATCATGTTTCTCTCTAGTAACACGTCTAATCTTCAGCACTTACTTATATGACCTAATTATTGCGTTGCAAGTGCCATAAATATCGGTTACTAAAACAAAAAGGAACTAGATATTTGGTTGTAAAATGTTCAACATGTACGACATGTATTAAAGTGCAGCCTCTCTATAACAACATCGTCGGGACCAGAAAAAATGTCATAATAGAGAGTTGTCGTCATAGAGAGGCAACCAAAAATAACTAATGATATATGACAAGGAAACAATTAAATCGGGACCTGGGAACCATGTTGATATACAGAGGATTTTGTTGTACCGAAGGTCGTTATAGAGAGGCTGCACTGTATATTATAACAGGAAAGGTGTACTTTTGTAACTTTTCAGGAAGTGTGATGTTGTGGTCCGTGGCTTCTCTGGTTACACCACACGTTGGTGCAAACTCATGCTGCCGTCGATCCTGGACAAGACTGTTGCCAAGGACACGGTTGCCATGACGATCTTTCTGGGAGCCAACGACTCCAACAATGAGGCCAATGTACGACAGCACGTACCTCTGGAGGAGTACAGAGAGAACATGAAGGAAATGGTGGACTACGCTTTGGTAGGTTCAGGGTCATTGTAGTGAATATCTCTCACGCTTTGGTAGGTTCATACTTTGTAATGAATATTATCTGTCTTTGGTAGGTTCATACTTTGTAATGAATATTATCTCTTGTCTTTGGTAGGTTCATATTTTGTAATAAATATTATGTCTTGTCTTTGGTAGGTTCTTACTTTGTAATGAATATTATCTTTTGTCTTTGGTAGTTTCATACTTGTTGTGGTGAATATCTCTCACTCTTTGGTAGGTTCATACTTGTTGTAGTGGACTAAACTTTGGTAGGTTCATACTTTGAAATGGTGTCTCTTGTCTTTGGTAGGTTCATACTTGTTATAATAGTGACTATCTCTCACTCTTTGGTAGGTTCATACTTTGTAATGAATATAATATGTATGTCTCTTGTCTTTGGTATGTTGACACTTGTTTAAGTGAATGTACATTATTTCGCTTGGTCAAAGGCACACACAAAAATGTTAATTTGCAGTTTTCAAGTACACACAATCTTTGGAACTGACAAAACTTTGTGGTCATCTTCTCACTAATTTTGCCTCAGACTCTTGACACCATAAGACCCCCACCTCTTTCAATCGCAAATATCCCGACTTCTATTATCAAAAACAAGACAAATGAATAAACTTTAAGATAATACCAATAACTTCATATGCCCAGAAATTGATGAGTGCCTGATTCCACTGTTGTGTGCGTGTGTACATGTGTATGTGTGCGTGTGTGTGCATGTATGCATGTGTGTGTGTGTGTGTGTGTGTTTGTGCATTATATTTATGTGTTGTGTGGTGAAATACCAAACCAATATGCCAATGTCTGGACAATAAAGATTAATCTGATCCTCTTATGTTATCTTCCCTAGTCTACAGGCATAAGCAGAGATAGAGTCATCCTGATCTCACCCCCGGCCTTCAATGCTTCAGCGTGGGCAGTGGAATGCAAAAGGAGAGGTGAGTTCTTTTTATCATCTGTGTTTGAGCAAGTCCCCGGAGATTGAAATGGTGAAATGGTAAAGGTTTAACGCCCCTATCAACACTATTAGGTTATTTAAGAGGCGGGACCTCCGAGTTTTACGTCAATCTTCGAAAGCACCGAGCTAAGTGGAAAATTCTTGTAAAGTGCCTTTACCAAGAACACAATGTTGAACCGAGCTGAGGCTCGAAACCCCGTAACCGCAATCTCATGATTACGGGTCCGATAACCTAACTACTAGATAGACCACCGACGCCTCTGAGACTTGAATTGTATTGTATTGCTTGAAAGCATAGCTAGCGATTGGCCATGATTTAGTCTTGCCGCTATATGAAATTTGTTCTTCTCAATTTTTACTTACAATGTGTTCCGTCTATCAAATGATATTACAAGTTTTTTTTTACATTTGTGTGTTCTTATAAAGAAACAATTGAGAACATTGTGGCATCTCTTTGAAGAACTATTTTATGTTCTTTTGTTATATGTGTTTGGGCACAGTTTGGTCATACAACTACTATGGGTTTATATAAAATATTGAATTACTGTACACTTTTTACGCACGTGTTTGACAAATTGAGAACAAGCATCTTCTTGAACTTGAAGAACTTTATGGTCTTTTTTGTGGGTGGTTGGTGGGTGCCCTGGGGTGGTTTGCTTCTTCTTTCCTATCAAACATCTATCGTCCTGATCTCCCCTTCATCTTTTTTATGTTTGTTACTCTCTTGTAACACCTCTAATCTTCAGGCGCTCATATGACCTTATGTAGTTACGAGCGCCGTAAATCCTGTACTAAAAAAATAAAAAAATTTTAATGGTCTTTTTTGTTACATGTGTTTAGGCACGGTATTGACGACCAAAGACAACATCGTCTTGATCAGACCGCTACAGTTTATAACAAACAACTCTACATTTTTTACATACATACATGTGTTCTGACCAATTGAGAACAAGCATTTTTTTGAAGAAATTTATGTCCTGCAGTAAATTATACATTTCCAAAAAAGGGAGAACATGACAGATATAGAAATTCATTCGTCCCAACTGCAGTGAGATTACTGAACACACAGTGCTACAAATGAAACACAGAGAGAGAGATGGGGAGAGGGAGAGAGAGAGAAAGGAAGAGAGAGGGAGAGAGAGTGTGTGTGTTTTAAAGAGTGGGTTGTTTCAGCTCGTAAAACATTTGTATTTATTAATGTCCTGTCTTGTTGTGCGTATACGTGAGTGCAACTAACCTTTGTAACATCTACTGCCATTGTAAACGCCCAAGACAAATTTCTCCCTCTGAGATGGATAAAGATTGTCATTGTCATCATCGTGGTTGTTTTTTTTTTTTTTTTTTATGGTTACATGCGTTTAGGCACAGTTTTGACCAAAGACAACACGACCACGGGCGTCTATGCCAGAGCCTGCTGTGAGCTGGCCCAGGAGATGGGCACCGGTGTTGTTGACCTCTACACAGAGATGATGAAGGCAGAGGTGGGTTTTGGAGGTGGGCGTTATGAAATTGTGTCTGTGGGGATTATGAGATTATGTAAATATGTGGAAATGATAAAATTATGTATGTGGAAATTATGAAATTATTTATGTATGAGATTATGTATGTGGGGATTATGGAATTCTGTATGTGGAAATTATGAAATTATTTATGTGGGTGGAAAGTATGTATGTGGGGGTTATGAAGACAGGAATCAGAGAAACAGGCATATTTTCTCCAGTTCGGATATTTTTATCGAATTTTTAATTTTTGGCTCAACCTCTTTTATGCCCGTATAAAAACACATTTCTATATGAATTTTACTGAAACACATTGATAAAAGGCACAAAATTTACATCTTTTGTGCCTTTAATCAACGTTTTTCAGAAAGATCCACACAGAAATAAGTTTTTTAATGGGCATGACAGGTGTTGAGCCCAAAAACAAAAATTTGATTAAAATTCACAAACCTGCAGAAAAATGCACGTTTCTTCACGAGAGCCTGATTCCGCCACGCTGCCTCACATATGTCATTTTTCAGTTTTTAAAGACTCTTTAGCTATTGGATTTACTCTACTTTGGCGGCCATTTTCTTGCTAATTTCACCACTGAAACCAGGCGACCTCACTTCCTTCAATCGCAAATATCTTGTGTTCTATTCAAGATAAATCGATATATATTTCATTGGAAGCAAGGCAAATAAATCAGCTTTGAGATGATACCAATAACTCCACATGCTCAAACATTGACGAGTGCCTGATTCCACTGCATTGTGACGCACACACGCACGCACAATATATATATCTATATATATAGAGAGAGAGAGATCTATATATTATATATATATGTATATATGATTTGTATTATGATATCCAGCAAATATATCTTTGCGCTTTGAACATCTTTTCTTCCAGGATTTCTCAGGGTTCCTCGTCGATGGCCTTCACCTTTCCCACTCTGGCTCGCGTCTGCTCTTCTCTCAGCTGCAGCCAATCATAGACCGGCTGACCGCTGACCTGCCGATGCCGATTTTCCCGTTCAAGGACGACGTGGATCTAGATAACCTGGAGAAGTCGCTGTTGTCGTAGAATTTATTTTTATCATAATAATTTGCTTAGCTGAAGAGTTTCTGCCAGTGAGAGGATCCTTATGTGTTTGCAGTGAGCCTGGGATAGAGATTTGTGACGTGTGCTGACAAAATCTGTCCCTGTGGTTTTATGCACCCCGCATAATTTAGCGAAATTCGATCATTTGTTGCTTAATTTCTGATTATTTTCGGTTATCATTCTTTGTTAAAATTAACAGAATGGCATAATTTCATATTTTTGGGCTCAGTTTGCATAATTTTTGAATTTTTCTTGCTTAAAACGACGGGGACAGCAAAATGAATTACTCCTCGGATTCCAACGTTATAGAAATGGATAGGTCATGCCTATAGGTGAAGTTTTTTACGATTTTTAAGTATGATATAATAAAAAGCATGTTTTAGTTGAAGAATACTCTATGGCATCAATAGAAAATCTACAAATTTGACCCGAGTGTCGGTTTTTGGCCAATTATCTCCACTTGTGGATAGCGAGGAGTTCTTACTCATTTTGTCAGCACGCCCCACACTTCATCAGCATACATGTACTTGAGAGGCAGCATACTTGATAGAAGATAAGATGAGATGATACTTTATTATCCCAGTTGGAAGTGGGTATATGTTACGATTGAGTTACATTCTATGTGTGAGTGTGTGTGTGTGTGTGTGTATGAATGTGTGTGTGTGTGTGTGTGTGTGTTAGTGAGTATATATGTGTGTGTGTTTATGTGCGGACAAATGGAGAATCTTTTGTCTTTCATCCTAGAACCAGACAGAGCCTGGTTTTTGTGCTAGACTTGACTGTATCTAAGGGACCGTCCACAAGTGACCTCAGCTTATGTCATCTTTTCCAGGAACCCCACCCTCTAGTTGACGTCAACCAAAATGTACCTGTACATTTAGATACAACCTGTTCAGGATGAATTTAATATATTTACACCTTTGATTTTTATTTTAAATTAAAGAATAAATACTATTGTTTATTAAAGAATACAACAAAGAAATGCCTGAACTGTCAATTTATTTATAAACAACTTTAACCAATCAAAATAATGAACTAGATCTATGTTAATTTTAGGCCTAGAAAATGTGTTCTACAACATTTTTTTCTTCCTTTCTTTTCTTTTCTTTTCTTTTTTTTTCTTTTCTTTTTTTCCCCCCAACCTTTTAGAGCATCGTGGTTGATGTCTACTTTGTATGGACG